TAAATTAAAATTGTTAAATCAAAACAATTTTAATTTAGTTACATTTATATATATATATAAATATGCCTTCAGAATAAAATATAGTTACACCAAAAATGAATAAAAGTGATTTAACGTGGAATATAAAGTGATTTCCGTGGAAAGTAGCGCAAATCCGAGAGAAATGCACCACTTTAAATAAAATGGCAATAACTTAATATTCTTTAGGTGGCCCGGCACCATTTGATCTACGGACCGGGGGTTGCGGATCACTGGTCTAGAGTTTATGATCACGGACTCATGGTTGGCGTGTCATGAGTTCGAGCCAAGTACCACTGAAGACCCGCCGTGTAGGGAAGCGATTCAAGTTAAATCTATCGAGAGCTGAAACGTCCTCCCGTTGGTGTGGTAGTTAGGAGAAAGGGGTGCCAGCTCAGGTGCCGTCCTCGTCACTTGACCATGGTTCAAAATTACGTGGTCCGTCGCCAAAAGCCCTCGTGTAGCTGAACAGTGCGACGATAATATTCACTCACTCACTCACTCGAGCTCTAGTTCCACTGAAGACAGGCCGTGTAGAGGAGCTGATGCACATTAAATCATTCAAGGATCAAAGTCCTCCTATTGGAGTGGTGTGTTAGTTTGGATAGAGGGTACCGCTCAGTTCTCTCTCTCGTCACTTGACCGAGGTTCAAATTACGAGGTCCGTCATCAATAGCTCTTATGTTGCTTTGTAGAGTGACGTTAATATAACTCTCACTTAAAATCACGCCACTGAAGACCCACCATGTACAGGAGCTTATGCACATTAAATCTTCCGAGGCTGAAAGTTCTCCCGTTAGCGTACTGTGGTAATTTGAAGAATGGGATGTCGACCTCGTTACTTGAACTAAGATCAAAATTACGAGGTCCGTCTACAAAAGACCTCGTGTTGCTTTCCACATTGATTCTCAAACTTTCAATATTTGCGACCCAATATTCAATCATAATTTTAACCCCCCCTCCATACAATAACAATGTATTGAATTCAATAATTCTGTACTTTAACGCTAAAGCTACAATACGACCTTAACCTACCACTGGCGCATGTAAACGTCTTGCTCAGCCCAAGTGTTAATTGCACCGGACGTATATATACGTCTTTTCGAAGTAAAATATTTTTTGTGCACTGCTATCCATAAAATTATTCAGAAGGCTTTGGAATGCAATAAAAGGACTTTGACAGTACTTGCGAAGAATTTACTTATTTCAGAGAATTTGTTTTTGTTTATTCCTTTCCACCCTACCCAAATACACGGCCGCGGTAGCCGAGTGGTGTGGGTATCGGATCGTGGCTTGCCTTATCACGAGTTCGAGCCCTGTACCACTAAAGACCCGTCGTGTAGGGCAGCGATGCACGTTAAAGCTGTCGAGAGCTGAAACGTCCTCCCTTTGGTGTGGTAGTTAAGAGAGGGGGTGCCAGCTCAGGTGTCGTCCACGTCACT